GAAAAGTAAAATATAATAAGCCTACCTGCAGAGCTGTTCCTGAGAAACTCTATCAGGCTTGTACCTGCATCTTGTGGGAGCATCACGGCAGGGATACCAATGTCCACATCAGGTTCATCGGGCTCACAAACCATCTTGAAGAGCTCTAAAAAGCAATAAGAGAACATAAAATTATGTTTAAACCCTTGGCCTGTGCATATCGAGAAACAATACTGGAAAAGCGATTGCATAACAACAATTGGAAATTTTATAATGACTGCTATGTAGCTTACAGCAGTATGCAGAAGTACATATCAAGGTTAAGAGCCCATATTCATTATTAGAACAAGGAAAAATGAAACCGAGCATTACTGAGGAAAATATTGAAATTAGAGCACCAAAACCTGTTTGGTTGTTTATAATGATGATCGCTGAAGCGCCAGCAGCCTCTGCAACTTTTGCTTTTCTAGTGAAACTGCAATTACCTCGGTGCACCAGGATGGCCTCACCAGTGAGCTATCATACAATCGAGACCTAAACAGTGAGTTTGCTACATCCTTATAGAAGTGTCTAATAAGTGAAATCATGTTTCACAAAAAGAATGCAAGATCAACCTTATTCTTAGGCTTGCTACAACAATCCGTTGGGTCCGCAAAGGCAAGCCTCGTCTGATTAGCGCGTTTTTCCTTTGATTCCAATGTGGGGCCAAATCGAGCCCCAATGCCAACAAACTCAGTTACTTCATTCCCATGAACCCATGTTGGAATTTTTACCTATTTAAGGAAATACTACTTTAGGAGATAAGTGCAGTTACAAGTTGCAAGGTTGAAAGAGACTCCAACTCTCGCATAAATTCTTGACCAAATGACAATCAAAGTACATTGGAGCAGTATTCTGCTCACGCTATGCCAAACAACAAAACATTACGTCTATCCCAGCCATGACATAGAATTTTGTCAAATGAGCCAACAAAGTACCTCGGGTCCCAGTAAATTTTACAAACTATGCGTATGACCAAACCTTAGAATCTAGATTATTCATCTCCATTCATAAAATGATCAAGTCACAAACAACCATCATGTCAAAAGCGAAATTTTGAATTCTATTAGTTGTCTATACATGACGTATTAACAGAAGACTACTTTGGATGGTACATTTCCATTTTTATCCTTTTGAAGTCCTTTAGATTTGACCTAAATAAACTGATGCCATGGAGCAAGCTAGTGGCGAAGTTATGCTATCGAACCTGCCTCTTCTGTTTGGAAGGTTTAGTCCTTATTTTCTTAAAGAAAATGACAGAAACACAAACCGATGAATGCTTAACTGAGAAGGCACAAGAAAATGCACGGAAGCGTCATATCAACTGATGATGCAACTTAAACTACTGAAATCAAATTTTCCTTTTCTTAGATCTCGGGTTCCAATCTGCCAACTACGCAAATGCAAAGGATTGCCTATAATGGTTCGGTTAGTAGGGTTAAACGATAAGAGGGGAACAAATAAAGCAAACAAGTAGAGCCCTCTATTATGCAAAGGAGTTGGAAAGGTACAGCAGGCCTTTACAAACCAAGAATCCTGCTTGATGATTCGTTGTCATGTCATTTCTTACATTTCCTTTTGAGTGAAAAAAAGATATCATACACTCCCAGAATCCTGAATGGATGCTCTTCAGGCCAGTATATCTGGGATAACTATCAATCTATAGCTTCCAAAAATGGATCTTAGCACAATTAAGTCTTCAATTCCTGTCCTGGATGCTTGTAGACTAATATTTTGTCTACGATTACCAAAAGTAATGATACACCAGATGCCGTTGCCAAGTTCTACTATTAGCGAGCCTAATCAAAATTTAGACCATCAAATTTAATTAAATCCCAAAGTGATCGGAAAAAACCTTGCATAGACTAATACCACAATTGTGGTTATTCACTTATTCTTTCACTTTTAACTTCATTCTTCTAATGGACTTGACATATCTTTTCTTTTTTAGTCCATCCCTTTATTGACCCATTCCCTTATGGCAAAGGTATTCATCTCCAAAAATTCAAGCAACTAATAAAGATTAGTAGCCTCTCCATCCAATTTGATTGGTTCACTTTCGACTTGGCGCAACTATTACGAATAGAGGAAAATATGTGCATATTTTGAATGTGAATATTAAATGGGGAACCAACCAACTAAAAAGAGAAATGTTAAACGGGAAACATGTGGATGCTAGGTGCGGATTTTTTAAGGTTGAGAAAGCATTGCATAGAGACGTATCATGTACTATCTGATTTATATAATACTACCGGGGAGTAAGGACTTTCCTTATAAGAAATTTGCAATGATTTTGGATGGCTCAACAAAGAAAGGTGAAAATTCAATTTGACATGGAGAGAGGGCTTCACATTACTTTTGTCCCTCGACGTGCGGCTTATTCTTTTTTTGCGGCAAGTATGTGAAGATTTTTCATTGTTGGGTGACGATCAAATTCAAACATAGGAACTTCGCCTTCTTTGATACCATGTGAAATTGTATGAACACCTCATTTATAACTTATATAGAGAGGGAACACATTTATTTGTTTACTTTTAGGGGTGCGACAACAACTATTACTATGAACTCATTTTTTCTAACTCCACAATAACAAACAAATAATTCCAAACTTTCATTTTAATCTCTACTCCATGGGACTAGTGGAGTAGAATTGGGTGTCGGGAGTGAATTAACCGCCAAGATGCGATGCAGATAAACCCCAAAATAAGTAATAACAAAATAACATCACAGCAAGCATCATGCTTTACCCGCTGATAATCTAATACAGCAATAAATACACAGAACAAAACGGAAAAATTCAAGCTTTAACCGCTAAAAGGTAATTCAGCTAAAATACAGAAACCAATGAACAGTAGGCATGGATTACGAAGCCAACGAAAAAAGAAAAAAAAAAGCGGGACATAGCAGAGGGGTGGATCCAAGATTTAAACTTTATGGGTTCGATTTCGGGATTCTACCACAACAATTTGACTTAATGGGTTCGGATCAATTATTTGTACTTATTTAGTGGTCTTTTTAAGCCAAAGTTACTGGCTTTGGCCATAGTATTACTATAAGAGTCAAATTCTTATGAATGATTTTACAATACATAATTCAGATTCGTAGTACTTTTTATATAATTTCTAAATAGGTAAAGTTCATTTTTAGAGAATTAATAAACATAACCTTAGAATTCTCATTGAAATCACATAAGTTGACAAACCATTATCATAAGCCAGTAATAAGCACATGAGTAATCAAATCTCTTCACAAACAGATTTACATTTATACAACCAAAACTTAAACATCAGTAATGTAAAGACAAATTAAAAGATCTTCACCAAAAAAAAAACAAAAGATCTCTATTAAGCACATCCATATACATATATATACACACACAAAAGCAAAAAATGAAACTTTGACCAAAAAAAGACTCAAACTTTGAACAAAAATTAATCTTTTTAGCAAAATAAATGATTCCAACTTTGGACAGAAATGAACATTTTAGCAAAAAAGATTCGAACTTTAAGCAAAAATGAACCTTTTAGCAACAAAAAAAAAAGACACAAACTTTGAACAGAAATCAACATTTGAGCAAAAAAAGACTCAAACTTTGAAAAGTTTAAAAATGAAAAAATGAGCTAAAGAGATAGACAAATTACCAGCACAAAATTGTTGTTACAACCAGGCCTCTTTGGAGCAACATCATCATGATGAACTATATCACCTCCAATGACAAATGAAGAACTCAGCAAAAATACAGCAAAAATTAAGCATAAACAGCAGGAAAAAACTCCTCCTTTAGACCCCATAAACTCAAAATCTTTAGAAATTCTTTCTCAATCTTGAAAATTAGAGTCAAACGGTGAATTGGGTGTTCTTTTGGTGTTTTATTTTTTAAGGAACAGGATATACGAAAGAAGTGGAGATATGTATGAAAGGAAGGAAGTAAGAAAGATAGTCAATTTTCTCTTCTTAATTTCCTTTTTCAACTAAATTTTAAAAAGTGGGGATTTTTTCTGTTTCTAATACTTTCTTTTCTTACAGCGTTAAAAAATAATAGTAACATATTTTTAAATTTAAATTAATGTAATATTTAATAGTTAATTTTCTATTTTATAAAATACATGAATATTTATAATTTATAATTTAGATTTACAAACTTTTAAAAAAAAAGAATTGTTAATCAATCAAATAATTTCGTATAAAATAAAATAGAGGTAGTAATCAATTAAATGAAGGAAGAAAGGAGGATAGTTAATTTTCTTCTTTTTTCGTAATTTATGTAATATTTACGAAAGTAAGACTTTTAAAGATTAATTACTTAAAATGAATAATAGATATTTATTAATTATAAATTATTTCATTAAAAATAAGTGTGAATGATAAAAATAAATTATCTTTAAATTTGTAAATATAAAAGGTACGGAGTACCCTTTTATTATGTTAAAAAGATATGGTACATAAATTGGAACCAATAAGGCACTATCGTGTTACTTTCAGCATATTATACGACACGTACGACCGCCTTGTAACCGTTGATTTAGTCGTGAACTTTTTAGAATTTGTGGATTTGGCCACACGCGGTATTGACGAGTGGCTGTCACGTGCTTGAAGTTTGTTGACGCAATTATTATTATTATTATTATTATATTATATTATTAAGAAGCTTACACAATCTTCATTTATTGAATCTGTATTCATTTTTGTTTTTTTTCGTTTGATTTTTTTATTATATCAATAAATTCGAAGGTTAGATCACTTTTATCTGTAGTGTTGAGTAGTTTCTTTTTCTTTCTTTTTTAGAATTTAGGTGTATAAAATCAAGACAGAAAAATATTGCAACGGCCGTAGTATTTTATTTCAAGTAATATGAATGTACAATCTCTATGATTTCTCTGACTAATAAAAATTCAAGGGTCTTTGAGCTTGATTTTAAATTTGAATTTGATTTATCCGTCGCGAACACTTTGATTGTTGCCACAAATTATATCACGAACAAGCAGCCTTGATCTTGAACACCTTGTATTTAGTTTGACTTCGTTCTTGATCTTGAATACTTGAAATTTGTGTTAAAGCGCTTGAATGATCGAACACTTGCAGCTTAAAGAGAATTGTGGCTTTTGATCCACGAGCTCACTTGCACATGTTGTAACTTCTGGTGTCTTCTATGAATTATGAAGACCTATATTTATAGTTGTGGGATGGAAGAGCCGTGATGAGAACAAACTCTTTCCGACCAATCAAATTCAAGAGTGACAAGACCACATTTGATTGGCCAGAACATGTCACTTGCACATGTGGCGCGGTTTCATTGGCCTTTAAATTTGATTGGCATGCCTTGTCATTTCGAGATCCTATTGGCTCTCCCCGCTTGACTTGGTATGTCATGTAATATGACACGTGGCACTAAACTGGGCCTCTAGGAAGATAACATCTTGGGCTTAATGAAGTGGGCTCATTATTTTAGTCCAATTAAATGGGCTAACCCAATGGATTTGGACTTATTTATTTAATCCATATATATATTGGACTTATATAGCTTATCCAATTATATTAGTCCAATAAATTTATTTGAACTAATATATCTTGAATTTCAAATATAGTCCAAATTTGATTTATGAATTCTAAATTCAATACATTTTAAATGTCTACATTAGGATCATGAATTAAATGTTTCACAAATTGAACTCTTAATACCAGGTGACAGTTAGATAAATCAAAATAGGGATTAAAATCTTGAATAAGAGAATTAAAGTAAGTATAGCCTAAAAAAAAATATCACTGATTGTGAGATTCCATCTATTAAATAATATCACTTGAAATCTAAGTTAAACTAAAAAAGATAATTAAATTTTTATATACATTGCTCTACCTAAATTTCTACTCCCACTTCCCTGAAGTCAAAAGATTGAAGATATGTATGTGACAAGGTTGATAAGTCAAATTCCTCATTCTATTCTTCTTTTTTAACATCACAAATTACTCATTCTCCACCTATTTTATTTATTACTAGCACCATTTTTTGGTTGGACAACAACACAGGTGACGAATTTTGCTCTTAATAAATCTATGATCGAATAATCTACTTATTGTTTTAAGTAGAATCGCAATTTAAGCCAAAACTTATTTAAAGTTGGCTTAAATTGTCATCCTATTTAACTCGCCTAACCCACCTAAGGTTTGGCCGATCTTTAACCCACCCATTGGTTGAACTCAATTCGGGAGAAATTTAAAAATAGCCAAATTTACAAGTGGTCATTCAAAAATAGCCACAGTTTCAAAAGTAATCGAAATGTAGCCACTTTTTATGTAAAGACAAATCTGAACAAAAACATTGTTCAAAATCCGAAAAATACTCCAGCATAATATACTAGAACTCCAGCATATTATAATGGAGTTCCAGCACAAGAATATATCGCTCCAGTATAATATGTTGGAAGTTTATACATAGGTGCTCCAATCTCCAATATATTATGCTTGAACTTTCCGTGTGTTGGAGTTCCAGCATAATATGCTGGAAGTTCATATACAGGTGCACCGATCTCTAGTATATTATGCTGGACCGGTCCCTGTTACAGCAAAATAGTGGCTATTTTTAATGACTTTGCAAACGCTAGCTATTTTTGAATGACCAGTCTGAAAACTGGTTAGGTCATGCTATTTTAACACTCAATTCATCTTGACCCAGCACATCTCAGTTTTGATTAATAGCCCAAATTGTTTCATGAGTAACTGTGCTAAAATATTTTAAAAAGTAATTATTTTTGGTTTGATATGTTATATGTGACCATAACAAAAGAAAAAACACACACACACACACACATTACTTAAAGATTGATAAGAGTTGGGCAGGTTGAGCTATGGCCAAATTTTATCAACCCATTTTAACCCGTCCAAAATCAGCCTAACCTACCCATTTAACACATCTAGTTTTTAAAAATCTTATTAATTTTCTTATAGATACTTGTATGTAATACTCGTAATATATATAACCTTATTTTTCTTTTTGGCGTGTAAATACTCATCCATTATAAATATAGCAATTACCTTTCTGGTTTAGGTAATGGGGCATTAAGAATAATAGCCTGTTTGGCCAAGCTTCTCAAGACAAAAAAAGTGTTTTTTTTTTCAAAAGCATTTTTTTCTCCTAATTTGAGGTGTTTGGTCAAGCTTATTTGGGGAAAAAAATGCTTTTGGGAAGAAGCAGAAGCAGTTTCAGATAAGCAGAAAAAAGTAGCTTCTTTCCAAAAGCAGAAGCAGTTTTGGCTTTTCTTCTTATCTAAAATACCCTTAACAAAATATAGTATATACCAAAATAACCCTTAAACCTAATACTTAGGATATTGATTTATAAATATTTCTTCTTATGTTTAGGAAACTTTCTAATATATAGTGTCTTTAGGGGTGGATGCTTTTATATTTGTTGAAGGAATTTTAATATATTTAACTTATATTAAAAGAATTAAGTACTTGTTAATTTTATTTTCATATTTTACTTAAATAAAATGATTTTTTTTTTAATTATTGCATGTAATAACAAAATTTTGATATTATTTATTTACTTATAATATTAATTATTAAGTAAATCTATTCATGTCCTTATTCATAATTTGACACTTAAAAGCACTTTCTAAAAAGTTTGGTCAAACACAAATTATTTCTCAAAAGTGTTTTTCAGACTTATTAGCTAAACACAAACTGATTCTCTCCAAAAGTACTTTTTTCAAAAGCACTTCTCAAAATAAGCTGATTTCTCCAACTTGGCCAAACAGGCTATAAGTACTCCACATCACATCAATATTGATTCTAGGTGTTTTTTATATGCATTTTCTCTTTTCCATTGCAATGTCCATTTGTACCTAACTGCAAAGCGATTAGATCTTGAAAATTAGCTGTTTGAAAAATGCTTTTTTTCAAAATTGCCCAAAATTTCTAAAGTCTATTTATTTTAAAAAGTATATTTTAAAATTAATTTTTTCAAAAAAGTTATTTTTGGGAAGAACCAATTTACGTTAGCTTAATTAATTTGAAAAGCACTTTTGAACAATAATCAATGTTTGACCAAGATTTTAAAATGTATTTTAAAGTATATTTTTTTCAAGAGTGCTTTTCAAAATTCTTTTGGAGAAAAACTATTTTTTCTGCTTCTCAAAAATTGCTTCTGTTTCTATTCAAAAATATTTTTTCCTTCTAAAACCTTAGCCAAACACTTTATTTTAAAAAAAAAAATACTTTTGACCAAAAGAAAGCTTGGCCAAGTAAGCCATTTTCTAATGCAAATTTCAGACCCAAATGAAGCCATCCATTTTCGTTGGAACTATAAAGTTGCATTGGGAATTATTCTTTTCTTTTTTGGCATTCCACTGCATGGTCCAGGTAACTCCTCAACAACATAAGTGGATGTTTTCTGCTATTTATGCAAGCCCACATGCACACAACTGCACTGTTTTATGGGACAATTTACGTTGTATATATGACCACTATAAAGGTCCATGGTTATTAGTTGGAGATTTTAATGAAATTATCAGTAGTTCAGAAAAATTTGATGGCAGAATTATTAATCTTAATAGATCAAATCAATTCCTTCAATGCTTAAATTATTGTCAACTCATTGATCTAGGGTTTAAAGGTAGTCGCTATACTTGGACTAATAAACGTAAATGTGGTTTCACTATTCGTGAACGTTTTGATAGATGCATGACAAATTTTGAATGGAACACTTTATTCCCAAATTCCTTAGTCAATCACTTACCACGCACACACTCGGACCATTGCCCTCTTCTATTAAATCTGCTAGGGCAGTCGTCACCAAGTACCAAACCCTTTCGTTTTGAATCAATCTGGACTTCTCACCCAGACTTACGCCCTATGATAAATGCTATATGGCAACATCAAATATTTCTACTGCCTTTTATAAAATGTTTTCAAACCACTGCTTTTGCTTGGA